TTATTTATTTATTTATTTATTTATTTATTTATTTATTTATTTATGGCATTGAACCCAGAGGTGCTTTACCACCAAGCTACATCTCTAGTCCTTTTATTTTTTATTTTGAGACAGGGTCTCACTAAGTTGCTGAGGCTAACCTTGAACTTGTGATCCTCCTGCCTCAGTCTCTCAAATCATGGAATTACACACGTGTACCACCATGCCTGGCTATGAAGTTCATTATTAAGGGACTCATTTACTACTAGAAAATTAAAAATATTGAGACAGTTGTAACCTCATAAAGTAGTACGTTATATTTTCCACATACATTTTCCCTACCTGTTGCATGAGCCAATGTTTTAAATCCTTAAGTAATCTCATCTTAAGTGTTTTTTGAAGTTGTATTAAAATGTAAGAATTAAAACACAACTCTTTTAATTTCCAGAAAAACCTGAAAACTGGAAGCTTCTTTAATAGGATTGGGAAACTTTTGTTACATTTATTTGTAGTTTTCTGTTTGACACTTCTTCTCAACAGCATTATTAAGGTAGGTTAAGAAATGAAACATACAATGTATTTTTAAATTTACTTATGGCATTGGAAATAATTTTTAAGCTTTTAATTTTAAAGAAATAAATTTGTCAATTTTTGCATTATAAAACATATTTGCTCCTTGAAGAATTACCAGTTTTACTTTAAACAGGCTCAGTTTTAACTTTGTCCTACTAACAAGGATGACTTTGGTTGGTTTTACTCATTCACTTCTGTTCACTCTTTGTTTGACATATTTTACCTTGAATTCCCCAATTATTAAATTTTTTAAGATTCACCCTTAAAAAATTAAATATTTCTCTAAATTTACATAGTTTTCTACACGGTGTTACTAAAAACATTGACATGATTTTTATTGGATTCAGTTAGTTAATACACTAGTTTTACTATCTAATTTCTGCTAGAAAGAAGAGCTCATTTTTGGTAGTTTTCAAATACTTAACTGACATAAAATTAGTAACCCTCTATAGCAGAATAAGTCATTTGGTAATTTAGGCATTTATTTGTTACATACCCTGAAGCTTGGCTACAATTTCTTTAAGTGCCTTAGGGGGCTGCTTCATTAAACATGCTTTTTAATGTTTTTACTGGATTTTTCTTTTCTTTTTGAGAGTAGGCTTTGCTTCAAAATGTAACTCTTGGACCTTGAGGTCGTCATTGTATGCTCAAGCAAAGCTGCTATGATTTTATTAGATGATTTTTGCCTCTTCTGGAAGGCTGGTCTTGGGATAGGAGACTTCTGCAAAACAGGCTTCTTTTCCTCCAGGGAAGAATGGCTGTCATTGTTTTTACCCACGATCAAAGAAAAAAGTCTCTTCACTCAGCCAGCCTCAATAAATATCTCATTCCAAGTCCTCATCACTGTATTCTTCAATTCCATACAGTTCAGTATAGTCAGCCCTCTGTATCTGTGGGTTCCACAGCTACAGGTTCTACATTCACAGACTCTGCATCCAACTGCAGGTGAAAATTATTTGGGAAAAACATTGTGTCTGTCCTGTGCACTTGCACATGTTTTTCTTGTCATTATTTCCTAAACAATATAGTTTAACAGCTATTGACATAGCATTTGCATTGTATTAGTTATTACAATAATCCAGAGATGTTCTAAAGTGTACAGGACGATGTGCGCGGATTATAGGCAAATACTACACCATGCACATAAGGATTTTAGCATTCGAGGACTTTGCTATCCATGGGGGTTCCAGCATTTCTGTAAAATTGCATGAAAGATAAGGATTCATCCACTTACCCACTTTAGACATTTATTGATAGGCTCTTGAATTAAACCAGCAGAGAGCTGCATGCCTCAATCTCTGTTTTATGACACTTCCCCCACCCAGTAGTATCTCTTGAATGGTGTTTGATATTTTGCCAGCTACCTCCAGTGAGAAGAATTAGAAAAAGTCAACTGTGAAACTCCTTGTTGTTTTAACTGTACGATGGGAAAAAATTCTCTTGAGTCTTAGTTCTCGGACTGTAAGCATCTCTCCTCAGTTTTAATCTTACAGCCCTATGAGTATCATGCATGCTTTTCTCTTCTCCTTTGCATTTACTGCTAAAATCCAGAAGATCAGATTTGTGGTTCATGTCTAGTGATATAGTTTATGTACTAACCTCTATTCTGGCTTCAACTTCTTTCTATCTTCATCTTTCTTTTGTTTTTATTTGTTCATCATTTGTATCTATTTTTGAAAACTATAAATTAAAAATAAAATTATGTGAATTAAAGTTATAATGACTAGATATTGTTCATGGCATTTGTCTCTTCACCTCTTGAGAGTTACTGTTGTCTTAAATACTGTCTTTGAGTGAATGAATTTTAGGTTGGTATCTGCTGACTAAAACCCTAAAGCCAAACAGACTAAATACCTATTTGAAGTTTTAGGCCATAATATTGTTGGTTTCTGATGTAAAAAATTAAAATCACCGTGCTTCAGCCTTCTCCCTGTCCCTGAAACCAAAAAAAGTCATCTTTTATCTATTTTGCAAATTGAACATATGCATAAGATGTTTGAATAAAGGATTATCCTTAAAGAGAAAATGTAGGCAGAGAAGGGAGTTTGAAGTTCCTGCTTTAGAATCAGTGTGGAGAAATATTGTGCATGTTTACAAATTTCATACACACTCTTATGAAACTAGACACTGGTTATGCATATTTCTTGAGAAAATTATCACGAAACCTGCCTAAGGTACTAATAGCAATTTTTGTTTTCTCTCTCTTCAATAGAAAATTCTTAACCTGAAGTCAGATGAACACATATTTAAATTTCTAAAGGCAAAATTTGGGTTTGGAGCAACAAGGTATGATTGAATTGAAAATCTATTTGCTATTTTATCTTAAAGCATCAGAGAATTTACAGCTAAGTCGTCATTATGCCTTCAAATATTAATTGCAGACTTATTTCAAGAAGTATTATGTAGTTCCCTTACCTTGTATTGAATTTAACACTTTTCCTTCCATTTGTTCCCCAGGGATTTTGATGCAAATCTGTATCTGTGTGAAGAAGCTTTTGGCCTCCTGCCCTTTAATACATTTGAAAGGCTTTCAGATACTCTGCTTTTTTATGCTTACATATTTGTTCTGTCCATCACAGTAATTGCAGCCTTAGTTGTTGCCTTTCAAAATCTCAGGTATGGAGTGTTTCAGAAACCTACCTATGATTTAATGAACTTGTCCTGGGTTTATAGAAAATTTGCTTAAGTTAAAAATCAATATATCAGACATAGAACAAAACAGTATTGTTATCCTAAATAGAGAACATGTCTAGTTTAGAATGTATTCTACTCTCAGGGGTGAAACGACACCAGAGTAGTGGACATGGCAAACAGGTCTGAGTTTAAGTCTCAACTGCACACTAGAGAATGATGTGATCTTTGAGGCAGTTACATAATCTATTAGTATCTCATTTCCTTGTCTGTAGAATGAGAATACAGAGAGTACTTATTCCACACAACTTTATGAGGAATAAGTAAGTTAAAACAACATAAAGTACTTAAAAATAGCGTCTCACACTAGAATATGTTGTAGGTGTAAGCTGTCATTCGCTAGTATTATTATTGGTGATTCATAAGTCTCTGTTTCCATTATTGGTTTTCTGTTTTTTCCTATTTTTTCTACCTCCTTCTCATGAAATGTCAGAAGTTAATTATTATTCATTTGTTTTCTTACATCTTATTTCAGGGCTTACAAAGTCATCTATTTTAGGACTTTATTAGAAGATAAGACTTTATTCAGACATCTTATGCTTTTCAATATGCAAAATAAATATAAGATGACTTTTTGGTGTCAGGGGGAGGGAGAAGGCTAAAGCACAGTGATTACAATTTTTTATGTCAGAAACCAACAATGTAATGGTCTGAAGCTGAGTTGGTATATGATTATCTAAAGTATATGACTATAGATAAGTTTTAAGTGATAATTGCCAGTTTTTAAAAACTTATAGCATGTCCACCAATCCATTGAAAGAGAAAGGGAGTTTTAAAGCCTTTTTAAAAACTTGTAGAATTCCTATCTATCAAGCCTATGGGGTTTTTGCATTTATTATCCACGTTAAAATTGAAAGAAAATTAAGTGTAAGAAATTGAAGCTACTGTCATTTGTGAAAACTTAATGAAGCTCCCAAGAAATTCCTTTCTATTTGTAGTTACCTGGCCAATTAAGTTGCTGGTGAGCTGTGATTCACAGCCACAAGAGAGCTGTTGCTGAAGCAAGTCCAGATCAGTTGAGGTGTTTTATGATTATTAAGAATGAAGCAACATTGAACCATGAAAATATTTCATTGACTATTAAACTATTTTAGTATCTTTCAGAAGTGTTCTTTTTTTTATGCCTAACCCAAGGTAAAATTTAGCCCTGGACTGTATAATTTAATATTATTCCAGACATGCCAAGTGTTGACAGGACTCTAGACCACATCTAAAGCAGGAAGTTCAGCTGGGTTTCGCTCTGTGAGCATGTCTGCCATGCTCAGGGTGCTCCTAGCAGCCATCTCTGGAGGCTGAATTGGAATATGACTATAGATAAAGATTTTCAAGCATCCTCTTCTACAAGGTAGGGATTTTAGAAAGATTATTAGAAGGAAAGCACTACTAGACTAAGAAATGATAGTATCTTAAGGAATTAAGTTAATGAATTAACTTTCAATTATTTAAAGGATATTTTTTTCAAGACCCAATATTTTTGCTTTTATACTACTAAGACAATACCATGATGTTGACATAACATGTCTGCAGTGGTAGGAAGGATAAAACTGAAAGGGACACCATGTTCTGTGTTCATGGGATTCATCAGAGCCTTCCAACATGGCAAGGGTACAGAGAAGGAGTTGCAAATTCTCTCATGTGTCAAAGGAATTTACCAACATATATTCTCCTTGAGTAATCTTTAAGTACATAGAAGCCAATGTTTGGATTATCATTTTAAGTAATTATTATCAATGGTAAAAGCTGCCATAGAGTATCATTTTAATATCCCTATGAATCTGTAGTGGTCAAAAGAGGATTTCTAAGAAATAAGAGTCTTGGTTACATAGAAAAGCAATATATGTATCCAGTTCTGTTGAATTTATATGAAGGATCAGTAGGGCCCTTATAAAAGTATTGATTTTATCTGAACCTGGAAACCCTTGCTATTGTATTCTTTTCCCCTCTGAAACAAATTGTGCAACATCTGAATTCACTCCCCAGTCTTAACCTCACTAGAGTAGAGACAGCCAGATAGCACATGCTTCCCAGTGTGATGCTAGAGTAGATCTTATCTGTGGGAAGTGTTCTTAGAGGGGGAGAATGGTGAACTTGGCCTCTAGATCTAATTCTATTTTTACAAGAAACATGGGAATAGAGAGAGGTAGTAACTACCACCATAAGGAGAGAGCCAGATCCAGAAGGTGGGTGGAGGTACTGTACAGAGGCTCCATTTTCTTTAAATATGTATCCCTTTAAAAAAGAAAGAAAGAAAGAAAGAAAAAAAGAGATCCTTTTATAGATCAAAAGATATTTGAAGAGATACATCAAGAAATGCAACATGCAAGCTTTAGAGTCTGATCCAAAGGAATTATCTGAAAAAAGCAATTGCTGCAAACAGGGAAAGTAGAATACACCCTGAGTAGTCAGATGATATTAAAGAGCTAGTGTTCATTATACTGGGGTTTCATCTTAATGTAACTATTTGATAAAAATTATCTGTTGAACATACAGTGAAGTATTGATAGGTAAAAAATGTGATCACTGGTTCACAAAGAATTGAATTCCAAGTTACAGATACATTTGACTTTTGCTTCTTTATAAAAATGTGCAAAATGCCAATGATAACATAAAAGATCTTTCAAGATCTCCTCTCATCTCAGTGATTCCAGCAGGACTTATTTTTTGATATTTCTCTTAAAGAATTGAAGTACTTTAAATTTTTACTTAAATTAAAATCTGCTATGAAATTTTAGTTATTCTAACTACTATCCATTTACATTGTGACACTTTTGGCTTCAAAGTAAAATTTGATCAATGCTAGTTCATTTCATCTTAGGGGAGACAATAAGATGTAGCTAAATTAAAAGTATGGATCTAGCTTTAAATTTGTACGTTTGCTATTTTGTTCAGTGATGCTGCAAATCAACAATCCCTGGGTAAAGTGGGAAAATGCACAGTTGACCTGAAACCAGAAACTGCTTACAACTTAATACACACCATTCTGTTTGGATTCTTAGCATTGAGTACCATGAGGTATTTTTGTTTTATCCAATCTATTTGATTTGTTTTTTAATTCATCTGTTCTTTGTGGGTGGAGGGTGTTACTGGGAATTTACTGAGGCTGGCCTCAAATTGGCTATCCTCCTGTCTTAGCCTTCCAAGATGCTAGGATTACAGGCGTGTGCTACTGTGCCCAGCTTCATCCATTCTTAACTTAATGTTACTTAGCAATATAATTTGGAAATTAGTAGTCATCCTCATTAATGATTATCATTCCCATAAAATTGTCCTCATGTATACCTTACTTCAAAATATTATTCATAATCAGTTTTTTCTTAATTGGAAATATGTTTTACTCGTGGGATAGTTCCCAGAGGCAGTAGAACTAACCCATGGCAAATAGCTTTAAGTAAGATGTTCCTGTCACTGACTGTGCAGCTGCCCTTGCAGCTGTCTCCAACCCAGGTGCATACCTGCTGGGAACTGCTGACCTCCTCTGTTTCTGTCCTTTCAGGATGAAGTACCTCTGGACATCTCACATGTGTGTGTTCGCGTCATTTGGCTTATGCAGCCCTGAGATTTGGGAGTTGCTTCTGAAGTTGGTCCATCTTTATAATCCAAAGAGGGTCAGTGTTTTCCATTTAATTTTTAATGATTTTTAGTATTTCTTTCATTCCTGTTCTTGGTTTTTCTTCAGTAGTTGCCCATATGTTACTCATGTAAAATGGATACTAAAATTTGAAACTAAAAATAATTGATATTGTAAGAATTTTAAAGGAATTATTTTTAAGTAACTTGTAAATTTTAATTTTGTTTTTAAAAATCCTTAACTTTTCCCCAAAACTATAAGGTAAATATGTTTATTATATAGAAATTGAAGAATTTTAGAAATATACACAAAAGGGGCAATTAAAATTCATCAATAGTCCTCTTATCCAGAATTATAACTTATTATTATAAGGTATTTTCCTCAAAATAATTATTAACAAATGTATTACAATATTTAATAACCTGAAAATGCAGTTTTGAATTGTTCTGCCCTCTCAGTTCACTAGGTGGCAATATGGTAGAAGCTACAACTATCTTTATGAATGATTAAACCCTTAAATTGACTCAGTTTTGCATACAGGAGACACATGCACCATTATATTATGTTTTTGTTATTTCAAAAGAGGCACATACTTAAAAAGCAAAACCATAAGGCAAAAGTATTCAAAATTCTTGTAATCTAAATAGTGTCTTTCTTATGTAGATATGTATAATGCGATATTCAGTACCAATATTAATTCTGCTGTATCTGTGCTACAAGGTAAGACCAATTTTCCTCATTCTTGTCATTAATTTATTTAGCATGAAATTTGCTTTGACTCAATGTATTTTTGTGTTATTTGGCAAATAAAGTGGTCATTGGAGTTTATAAACAATCTCCTTAGTTTTTTATTGCAGTTAGCATTGATGGGAAAACTGATGAGTTTCCCAGATAGTTCTTACTAAGTAAAAATATCATAGCAGAAACTATTAGCACTGGCATTCTAATCTTGATTTTTGACTGTTAACTGATGCAAATTCTGAAAATAAGATGTTTTCAGACCTATTATGAAATGAATGAAATAGAAAAATTATTTTTCCTGTTAGCCAATTCATATAGCATAAGAGATTTTAAAATCTTATTTTTATCTATTTTAAAATATTTTGTTGAGTTCTAAACTTGGTAAGAGAACTGAAGTTTTAAAATAAATACAGTGTGAGATTAGGCTTTTTAAAAATTTGTTTTCTGTTTTCAATAGGAAGTAGCAACATTTTTCATATGCTCAGTTGACTAAATTCTGAAACAGTATGAACTGTGCTTCAGATCTGAGAATCCAGTCAGAGGCAAGGATCCTTGATCAGTTTGACTACTTTGGATTCTTTTGTACATCCTTGAGCTTATAGGCTTTGAAGTATCACCAGGGCAAGTAGCACAGATTATTTTATCCAATTGAACTCCTGCCTTCTCTTTAAAGAAAAAAATACATATTTTTAAAGATTAGATTGTTTTTCAGTTTTTGTTTTAAGTTAGAACAATGGCTTTATCACTCTACTGTCATGAAGGCCCTGATTTGGGAGGGTGGTTACATGTGGAGATGGGATCCTCCCCAGAGAGGATCACGTATAGAAGCTGCTCAGCTTTTGATTGCTTGATTGCTTCTATTTTCATGTCAGATATTGTGAACCAAAGATTTTAGGCTAAAAATAAATATATTTGATAATCATTGTATTATAAGTATTTTTTTAGTTATGTTCTGTCATTTTCCTATCTATCAGAACATGGACTGTTATAGACAGAGATCTGTGCCAACTGCTAGATGTTGCAAAACATAGAAATAGATTTCTGCCTTCTTGCCTGTGGGAATTTTATTGCTCTGATGTAAATAAGTGAAACTTCTTTAAAATATCTGGAAAGCAACAGCTATGTGTTAAACAGTATATGTTTAGTGAGGAGTCAGGTAATGTAATCTTACACATTGACCTTGAAACTAAAACTCCCTCCTCCTAGAAAAAATCTAGCTCCTCGTCATTCTCCTCTCACCTCTGGAGGTGGGTGTGAGCTGTGACTGTCTTGGCCATCAGCTGGAGACACACAGGCTGAGTTCTTTTATGTCTCAGCTACTTACTGATATTTTATAGATTTTTTAATTAAACTATTTGAGGATTTTGGTCTCTTGATTTGATACAGTTGAGGAAGGACACGGTAGAAGAAAGAAATTGTGCTGTAGAACCTTGGCTTAGTTCTCAGACAAGCAGCACCAGCAGCATCTGGGAACTCTTGGAAATACAGGTGCTTGGGTCACACTCCAGTCCTACCGAGTCAGAAGCTCTGCAAGGAGAGTCCAGCAATTGATGTTCTAGCCCTGCAAATGCTGCACATGTCCCACCATGTTTAGGAAACCCTGCTGTAGTGTTGTCAGGGTTCTCAACAGTGCACTGTTGACTTTCTGGCAGGATAATTCTGTCATAGGGGGCTGTACTGAGCCTAATAGGATAGTGTGGCACATCCTGCCTTCCACTCAGTGGATGCCAGTAGCACACCTGCCCCACATCCCTACCCCCTTACGTTTCCAGGCCTCCCAAGGCAGGAGTGAGCATCAGAATCCCTCTCCTCACTCCTCTTATGAACCCTTGCTAATGAAGAATCAGGGAGGGCACTAGGAAAGCCATTCTCCCCAGGAAATCCAGGTACTTCTCCCAGAGTTAAAGGATTGGTATTGGAGAGAACCCTCCAGAAGCCTGTCGGCCAAGTATCTCTGGGAATAGGCCTTCAGGAGAAATCCCACCACATCCAGTTTTCACTGCATAAAATAGTTGAGATAGTTCTCAGAATTTATGAAATACAGAGTCAGAGAAAAAAAAGATGCTATGCATATTAGGAGTTACCCATCGATTCCAACTATTACAGACTTACATGTAATACAAATTCATGTCTGCCAAAGCCTGAGTCGAGTGTTACCTGACAATTATGATGAGGATTTCAAAATTTGTTTGTAGTACCAATATTACTTGCTCTCTCTTCAGGATAATTTTATTAAAAGAGAAAAGTATGTGCTAGTCTCTACTCTGAAGGCTGAATTAATAAAAGCTACTTGGTTTTGATTATTAATTTGATTTGTGGAATCCCAAATAAACTATTGCCATTTATTTTAAAATAGCCTTTAATTATTTAAAAACAGCACTCACCTTCATATTTAAGAAGTTTTCCACAAGACTCTTAGAAGCTTTTAACATTTTTAGCATTGATAACAGCAACTGTAAAACTACAAAAATATCTAATGGCCATTGAATTCACATAGTAAAAGAATTAGAACATTTCATTTAAAAGTTTAGTGTTCTGATTTTCAAATTAATAGGGAAAATAGTTACAGTATTACAAAATGATCATTTGGCCAGTAATTTTTACTACTTGCCTTCCAAAAACTAGCACCAGAAGCACTGACACCTGGTTTTCCATCCCTAGCACTTTTCCTGATTCACTCACCCAGGAGACACCATAATGAACAGTAAAAAGTGGCCAAAGATGAGATGACAGGATAACAAAGTAACAGGCTAAACACAGCCTAGACCAGTCAGGTGCTGCTTTGTTTCTACTTGGTGGATCTTAAAATTATCACATTTTCAGTATCATAGAAGCATAAATACATTGTCATTGGTCTTCTCTGCCAATACATGAAATGAATTCTGCAGTTAACCTTAGGATGTGCATAGATGATCAAATCTTTTTAGTCAACCATCATTTGATAAAGCAATTAAGATTTAATTAAATGATTAAATAAACAGACTGTTGTTATTAGATGAGCAGTGGATTCAGAGTCTAATTTTTATATTGTATCTATATAACTTGAAGTCTTAGGTTGACCAAGAGGCACTGGTGGCATAAATAAGGTAGTCAAATACATCAGAATTTCCTAGAGGGTCCTGCTTTTAAATATTCTTTTCCATTGCACTAGTGATTCTATTAATGTATGTCAAACCATTTGACCATATTTTTAGCACCAAAAATATAATTACAATATTATACAATGACAAGAGGTTCTAGATTGGGGGCAACTTCCAAACTGTGGCTCTGCCACTTGTGACCTGGTCAAGTCAAGTATCTCTCAGAGCCAGTTTCTAGACATGTAATGAAAAAGAACTCTGATGGCTATGCTTCCTGCTGAATCATCTGTCTCATGGGTTATCATGAGGACAGAAACGAGATTCTGCATTTAAATACATGTTTACAGCTGTAATGTGGTGCTGTCTCCTGTGGACACATTCAGCTCTTAAGTGTAGTTTGCAAGATATTAGTTAATTACATTTTTGTAATACACTGTGAACTTTTTCATGGTTGATATTCTTGTCGTAGCAAAGTACTGTTTCACTAGATATTGGCACCACCTACAATAGCATTTCTCCTAGGGTAAAATGAAAGCTCATTTTAAAAATTTGACAACATTTCTGGTCCTGAATGGCCTCATCGCAGGAGAATTTTGTAAACTTTCCTTGGACCTCAGCACCCTGGTGTTGGGAAGGTTGGCTGCAGAGAAGACGCAGTTCTGTGTCACAGCCTCCATGTCTACTTAGTCCACAAGCCATATACAGTTTCTCTTTTTTTCCATTCAATCTTAGTGATAGTTGTGGGTATGGGGGTGGATTTTGTTTTTGTTTTGTTTTGTTTTTAATTTCAGTTCTGGCCAGGAATGATGGATGAGCTCTCCGAGTTGAGAGAATTCTATGACCCAGATACAGTGGAGCTGATGAACTGGATTAAGTAAGAGGAGTTTTTTTAACCTTTAAAATTTCAACTTTTTTAGAGTCACTGTGCATCTCATTTACTTTGGGGGAAGGGGTGGACGTTTTGTTTTGTTTTGTTTTGTTTGTTTTTTCTTAATCTAATTGTGAGGAAACATTCATTTTTATTAATTTTTTTTCTTTAAAACTCTGTATCTGGAAATAACTATTTCCATTCAAGAAATATTCTCTCCAATAGGATCAGAAAACAAATTTCTTTCAAACACTGACAGAAATCAGAGTAAAATTTTTACTTATGTTAAAACTTAAAAGAGTTTTCTACTCTTTGCCAATTTTGCCTTTATTGTTTCGCTTTAATTCCATTCAAATTCTGGTAATGGTGAGGCTTGAAAGTATTCTTTCCTTGTTAATTATTTTAAAGTTATAGTATAAACTACCATTCATTAGAATCATAATAGCTCATTGCAGATTTCATTTTCACTGATCCATGAGCCTCAGGAGAATTTTAAATATAAAACGGGGGCTCTTCCTCTCTTGAAGATAAAATACTTTAGCATTATATTGTTTCTTATTTTTACTGCATTTGGTTGGTTTGCCTCAGCCTTGAGCCTCAGAGTGAAATCCATGTATTTCAAAGCTTTGTTCATGAAACCTGACTCCCATAAGCAAAAATAAACTTTTCTACCCTGACCTGCATTTCTGTACGCTGTAATACTGTATCTCTCTATTTTATAACCAAAAAGCAGCAGTGTGATTACTCACAGGTAAATAGACATTGCAAATCTTGTGTGACATATTCTGAAGGCATTGGCCCTGTTGTCTCCATCACTTTGAATTTTAGTAGCCGTATTGGCACTTGCTCATGACTAATGTTTACTAACCAGTACAGTTTAGTGCTGCTTGTGTATTAAGAGATGGTAAATGTTTGATAGCTGAGGTCTCTTGAGTGCAATGCATGGATTTTATAGAGATTTATGTCTAAAATATATATGTGGCTTTGGTCCCAGTGTAGGACCGGGTTTGTCTAGATGCAATGAGTGTAATTTTTCACATATTTCTAGTGCTGAGAGTGGTACTCGGTGCTGGGTCTTTATTTATTTATTTAATTTTAAATCATGGCAGACAATTATAGAGTAAATAATTCCTTCAGTATTTATTGTATGTGAGGAAGAAAGATTATTCCATATAAAAGAAAGCTAATTACTTTTGCATTAACTGTAGTCAACTGGGAATTTACGATACATGCATCTGAAGGTGAGACTGATATTTTATATTTTTAAGATTATACCTTTGGAATTAATGCTACAGGGCATCCACTTGTTGTAGCATCCTGAAGATGGTAGAGCTTCCATATCTGCCTGGATTAGCATCATAAGCTTCCCTACTTGCATTTCCCAATTCAGAAATTATAAAATTATAGAATCATTAAAAATGTATTCTAGCAGAGCCACAGTTTGTCTTTGACTATCTCAAACTGGATGTGCTTATTTGTTGTACCTTTATTTTTATGCTTTTTCTCCAGGAAAATCAAAATAACATTCCTGGCTCTGAAAAATTGTGGGTGTGAAATTATTCAGGTGTGAAAGTGGCAGCCCTTAATCTATTATTCCTCCCTGTTGGGGGCGTGGTCTTTGCACCTGAGATTTTCCTTGGCCCAGCAGCTCCTCTCCCTGAGTAGTGAGTGCCCTGGTTGACAGACCCCTTTGACTGTCTTTTGTTTGGTTGGTGTTTTCTTTCTCCAAAACTGAAAGATTTAGATTGTTCTAAAAAAATTGGCTCCATTGTCATCTAATCTTGCCTGTTTTCCCCTAAAATTCTTCAAATCTAAATTATCATTTTTGTAAAAATAGCTGCTAGGCATGTTTGTAAAATAAGCTTAAGTGATGATGAATGTATGCCAAAATAGGGTCTATTTAGACACAAAATATGTTTGTTTAAATCAACATTCAAATCAGCTCTTGTCCGTAGCTTGCTTTCCAAACACAGGGAATGTATTTAATATTCTTTTAACCTCTCTGGTTTATTCTATCTTTGAAACATAAAATATGATCTTCAACTTAACTTTACTAATTTGACAGACACACTGCGTCCATGTTATTCGCTGTGGCCAGGTGCAGTGGCACATGCCTGTAATCCCCATGGCTAGGGGGTGGGCGTGATGTAGGAGGATCACTAGTTCAAAGCCAACCTCAGCAACTTAGCAAGGCCCTAAACAACTTAATGAGATCCTGTCCCAAAAATAAAAAAGGGATGTGGCTCAGTGGTTAAGTGCCCCCTGGATTCAACTCCTGGTACAAAAAAAAAAAAAAAAAAAAGTCTGAACTGCACTAAAGGAAGGGCAGCAATCCAAGGATACACAGTGTGGGTCTAAAAGCAGCTCCAGACACCTGGGGGACCCAGACCTGTCAGCAAGGGATGCCTCAGTCCTCACCATCCTGTCTTCTCTGTCTTAAGCCAAAGTTTGCACACTCAGATGTCAGTCCTTTGTCAGGGCAGTCATGATGGCATCTCTCCGGGCCAGCATTACAGGAGGCCTCCGGATGACTGCCTCAGGGTGACCTACAGAATTTCTAAGGGATACCTCAAATGACCCCCCCCTTCCATTTTGGCACAGGGTGATTCTTGGGGAGTATTGAGAAGAAACTTACCATCCCCCAGGCTTTGTACCTTGTAAACCATACACCATGTCAGGCTTCTCTGTTGTGCTCCAAGACCACTGAGCTGTGGTTCAAGGCATGGACTCTTGGGGGCTTCTCTGCTGCAGAGGTAGATTGAAAAATGCCGTAGCTTCAGCTGCAGCCCAGGTAGTTATTTTCTTTTCCTTTTGAGGTTATAACCTTTTAGAGGTAAAGAGAGAAACTCAAGGGAAAACAAAGTATGTTACTTTAGGATCTCACTTATGAGAGGGGCCATATAAACAGGACTGGATTTCTGTGAAAGTCTTGAAGGCCTTGTAGTGTTTTCACGGTTTTACAGTCACTCAATTATTAACACAATCCAACAGATACTTGTTGAGCACCAAAGGTGTACATACAGGACATTATATTGAAGGTGTAAACTTTGAGAGGCCATCCGCTCTAACTGCCTCTTTGCTGCAGTAAGCAATAAACTTTCTCTCAACATTATCTCTTTGTTCTTCTCTTCCACTCTCCACTCCATTTTATGATTTTTCAAGGTTTAACAGGTTTAGTGGGAAAATGTTTTTAGAGTCCCAGTTTTTGTCAGAGGAAATGTTGTTTTATGCTTTCCTGTCCAGTTCTCTAAAGGAGTGGAGATTTAGGTTTAAAACCAAAAATATTTCTGTATTAAATTTCTGTTTTACAAGAATACTGTAAATTCTTAGAAATTTTTTCATTGGTGCAGAATAATTATACAAAATAGTGGGTTCACTGTGGTGTTTTAATTAAAGTCATTTTAATCCTTGAGGATTTTGATGGGAGTGGGCCCCCAGGTACAGTAACTCACTTTCCCTGTAGTCACCTGGCTGGCTCACACCCAAGCACAGGGAAATGCAGATGTTCATATTTGCCCTCCTTGCTGGTAAATGCAGATGTTCATATTTGCCCCCATTGTTGGTAATGTTTCTGGGGACAAAAGTAAGATACCTGGATTTTTTTGCCTTCTCCAGTATCTCAGCAAAAAATCAGGCGGCACTCAGCAGGACCAAATGCACAACAGCCTGGTGCATGCCACATTCCTTGCAGGACCAAATGCATAACAGCCTGGTGCATGCCACATTCCTTGTGTCCTGAGAGTCTCATTTTTGGTTCCTGAAAGTTTTCTTTGATGTAGTGAATTAATATAGCGAGATCTGAATATTTTGATGTATGTCATTTTGACTTCTTGGCTTCAGAAGATTTTCACTAGAAATACTCTGTTTCCATAATGAATCCTGTATGCACAGTATTTTCTCAATGGGACTGAAAAAATGCAGAAATTTAATCAAAGTATTTAATCAAAGTAGAAAGAATTACTGTATATTTTAAAGATGAGGTGGGCTAAGTCCAGAATTTAAGTGCCTATAAACCTCCTTGATGTTCAATGAATCATTTTTGGTATTTGCATAATTCTATAAATTTTTGAAGTGTAGATAAAGCAAACGTTCACACGTGATATTATAATGCTCAGTTTACCCATTAGTTCAACAGTAATTAACTTGTTGAAGCCTAGAGCTTCAAAAATAAATGAGATTATTTGTTCAAAATGCCATCAGGTCTTCCTAGAATGACATTTAAATTATATAATGTAAATCCATTTGACCTGTGAGTCCTTGTCATTATTTAGTGACATTTCTTACAGAATAAATTGTTTGCAGGTTGGGCAGCCTGCTATGGAGCTTGGCAGAGAGCTATAAAAACAAATTATCCTTTCATTTTATACATCATTTGTTCAAACATTTGTAAAAATTGCTTTGTTTTTCTATAATAGAGAAGTGTCATTCAATGGTTAAAAGCACATTAGCTATTTTAGATACAGACCACAGACTGTATCAGGTGCAAGTGTCTGTAAAGGGAGAATGCCTGTCTTCAGATCTGTCATTGTGCATATTTTAAGTTAAGGACAAAGAATCCATTCTCCCTTTGCCTATGGATTTCACCACAAAAAAATATAAAATGCAACAAATGTAGACTTTTTTTAAAGTTTAGAAAATGTGTGATTATTCTTTGTCTTTTTTACTGTGCTTGTTGCTTTGACTTTTGCAGTTGCTTTACCAGTAAAGTTAAATATTTAAAGTAGCAGTGAAATAACCCAGATTTACCATGAGCCCAGCACATAAAACCAGATCAAACCGAATACAGTGAATAAACGTCATCTCTGCTATCCTCGGACGTCAATAGTTTTCAAACAAGCATTATTTCTAATTCATTTTCTAGGCCTTAGAGTATTTCATGTTTACTATTTTAAAATAAAACCAAGGGCTGCAGTAAAAGTGTATGTTAACAACCCAGAGATTGCTACACTAGCTGTTTTAAACAGATAGCATTTCTTTTAGACTTTTGAACTTTTTGCTATTAAGACCAAACATTTAAGACATGCTACAATCTAATGTGTTTTCCGTTGTTTTCTCAATTCCTCTATGCAGTTATGGCAGCTCCTTACTCTGCCTGCTCATGGTCTGCTGCTGCCTCAGGGGCTGCACCTGCTAGGGGCTCAGGGGAGGGGATTGCTCAGGTGTAGGTAGGGCATACTGAAGAGATCCTGTTTAATGTCTGATGTGTTCAGACCTCAGCAGAGTTGAAAGCTCCCAATAAGCATTAGTATGTAAGCAGTAGACTAATTTCTGGTGTATTTTGAAACATTTGCTGTAGTGGGAGCTGCGCCTGACTCTCTTAACCAGGTTTTCAAAGACAGGTTGTCAGCTGAGCACATAGTGGGCCCTCAGTAATATGTTTTGAATGAATAGAGAATAAGTACACAGTTCAGGACTTCTGACACTCAAACGTTTGTGAACTCTGTCCTTCATCAGGAGTTATGTTTATGGTTCAGGAAGCGGGCTGAAACCTTGGTCATTAACTGTGAATAGATGAGAGGGTCCGTCATCTGTCTCTGCCATAATTAGGAAATGCACACTATGAACAGGTCTTTGCATCTTCTTGGTACTGATTCCTGTTATATATTCCAAATGGTAATGCCCAGACAGGCTAATGATTTGAATAGAGGTTGGAAGTTCAGCTGTTGGATGTGTCTTTTGTATGGAAAGACCAGCCTGGCATCTTGAGGCAGTGAAACTGTAGAAGCCAGAACTGTTTGCCTGTTAGCTCTCACCTCTGCCTTCTGCTCTGCCAGACATAGAAACCAGGCTCATTTTCTTCTTACATTCTTAATCTGTCCAGTTCGAGGACCATCCACTTTTTGGCATTAATACATGATGTTGACTGTGTGATTTATTGCAGCAGAATGGCTTATGCCAGTTGAGAGTTTTCAAAAGAATGGCTTGGAAATGGCTTGGAAAAATGATGGCTCTTTTTAAAATTCATATTTGTTCATATTTATCCTCTTTAGCAATTATGATACACTGTAAATGAGAGTGACGTTATAGATAAGGCCCAGAATAAGTATTTAGTAGGTATTGAGTTAAATGGAATTTCTATTAGACCTTTCACAAGCACTGTGTACCTTCTCATGTTTTTATTTAAACTACCCTATTACTCTGACCACGTGGGACAAGTGTCAAAGACTCCCTGTAAATTGTTGTGAGGGAGGACAGAGCATAGATCTATTTGTTCTTGTGTTCCTGGGTCTCATTGTCAGAATGATGACAACCTATCAAATACAGCCAAGCTCACGCACAACTTTTTTCTGTTGGAATCCACATTCTAGACTCTGGCATGGGTGAGGGAAAATGCAGATTATGTGTCATTCCTTGTGTGCTCATTGTAATTCCATCTACTTCTTTTCCTCACTTAAGAAGGCTTATTGGAATGCAAGTGAAAGAGAGTGTCATAGTTAGAGAGAAAATCTTGAATTTTTCAAAAAGTAAATTATTTGTACATGTCATCATTTGAATAGTAGGATGTCTTCCTCATAGACATCCAAAGGCCTTTGTTGGCTGGCATTCATGCAGTAGTTTTAGCATTAATTTGGAATAAATAGAACATCCTGGTGGGATATATGAATATGATGAGGCGTCTCTTAGAAACCTCAGCAGCAGAGCAAGTTTCATGCTTTGCTCACCAAAACCTTGAGAGCAGACTCTCCTATTGCTTTTTCTGCAGAGGTCGTTGAGTTTGAATGGCTTCAGATAGACTCCTCAAAACTCTGTCGAGTTAGCTCAGTTCAGCAGACATAGACTCCTTTTGTTAACAGAAGACAGATAAACATACCTTGCAACATTCCTAGTGGGCTTCTATGGGAAATTCCACACTAGAGAGAATGCCTAGAAGAGCTGTTTGTGTTTTTCACGGTGAAAAACAACACTATTTCATTGGTTTGCAGGTTTCCAAAAATTGGAAGGAAATTAAATGGTCTGTACTAAGATTATTTTTTCCTGGGTAGCAGGAGAGGAAAAATGCTTTCACTGTGTTTTGGGAATCTTTCCTTGATCCTCCATCATTGGCCCTCAACCCCACTACCCTAAGGGAGGCAAAGAATCATAGCTTGGTGGTAATTGGAAAGCGAGATTGTGATATAATATAAGGCCTCCTAAATGCATATAGTTTTAATCAGAACTAAAGAAAAGGAATGATTTCACATCAGGAATTGTGTACATCCCCATACTGATTGGTAAAATATTTGCTATTTCAGAATCTTCTTTCCATGTTTTCCTTTTAATTATGTTTTTTTTTCTTTTAAAGTAATTCATAATAATATCTCAGATCTTCTGGCTTTCTAGTCTGTTTATTTTAGGCAGCCCATTAGTGACATTTAATATAAAAAACAATGGCAATCTTCTGAGTTCTTTTTGTTAGAATCTGTCTCCTTGGTACAGGAGCAGAAGAGAAGAGAACTATGGATTTTAGCCCAGAAACCTCAGACTCAGGAGATATCTGCCTTCCTCCTGAGAGAATTCATCATAAAAGTAAACCCATCGAAGCAGAAAGTCAGACGCTTCTTGACCATTGTTCTAGTGAACAGTCAAGAATGGATATGAAAGTTAATGTGAGATGGATGGCGTGCAAATCAGAACATAGGCCATGCCCAACTTTACACTTCCTAGCAGAACTAGGTGATTCTGAGAGTGTGGTACTGTCTTCTTGGATGTCTTCAAGGAAATCTTAGCAGTGGAGTTAATTCTGACTCTTAATATTTTAGTTCTCACACTCCAAGGAAGGCTGTGTTTGCTGGAAGCATGCAGTTGCTGGCCGGAGTCAAGCTGTGCACGGGCAGGACCTTAACCAACCACCCGCACTATGAAGACAACAGCCTGAGGGAGCGAACCAAAGCGGTGAGGCCCGTCTTAACCTTTGCCCACTGCTTGTGGACAGTCAAGGCCCAGGCTACCCATGTTGGTAAAGGTTCACATAAGGAACTGGGGCTTGGTCTCCTGTTCTGGACTTCAGCCTGCTCCCATCTGCTAAAGGCTGTTCAGGGTGCCCAGAAAGGCACTGCACACCTGTAATCCCAGCAACTCAGAAGGCTGAGGCTGGAGGATGGCAAGTTCAAAACTAACTACAGTAATTTAGCGAGGCCCTAAGTTACTTAGCGAAACCCTGTCCCAAAATAAAACATAAAAGGAGCTGAGGATGTGGCTCAGTGTTCAAGTCCCCTGGGTCAGTAATCCCCAAAATGGATGGATGGATGGATGGATGAATTGGTAGGCAGGTAGGTAGATAGATAGATAGACAGATAAATAGAGGCAGTTTAGGAGGCTACATGCTCCTCTCACAGGAATAGCTGAGAAGATAAATGGCCTGGGATGTGCAGAAGAGATGGTTTAGGACAAAGCACTCAAGAGTTTTGAGTTGGGGAGGGAAGGAAAGGAGTGAAGGCATACTGGTCACAGTTTTATAAACCATTTTAAGGGCTGTTTTCTAATATGTGCTGTTATTGTTGTTGCTCATTTTAAAATAAATAATGCTAACTACATAGTTCAAAGTTCAGGACATATAAAGGGGAATTAGTGAAAAGTTTCCCTCCCATCCCTGTATTCCAGCTACTAGTGCCTCTCCCCTGAAGCAAATAATATGGCTCGATTCTTGGGTATTCTCCCTAAGGTATTTTACTAATATACCAACAATCTCTTTTATATATATATATTTTGCATGCATAATATATATTGTGTGTGTATTTAAAACAAAAGAGCTGTCAATTTGCTAATATAGAATGATCTCCAAAATATATTGTCAAAAAAGCAAGGTGTTCTTTGTTCCTTCTTTGTTTAAAAAGAAGAATGCATTTGAATAAATGTGTATATGTATACGTGTATGCATATTTTAAGAATATGAATGTATGCATACATATATCCCTCCTTTTTTTCTAAAAAAAAAAAAGAAGCCATATTACACCTTGCTTTTTTCTTTATTTTACTTATTTATTTTTTGCTTTTTTTGTGGTACTTTGGATTGAACCCAGAGACACTTGACTACTGATCTACATCTCCAGCCCCACCTCCTTTTTTCCCCCTTACTTTGTGAGAGGGTCCCACTAATTTTCTGAGGCTGACCTCAAACTTGGGATCCTCCTGCCTCAACCTCTGAAGTTGCTAGAAGTTGTGCCCAGCACACCTTGCATTTTCAACACTATTTTGGAGCTCACTCTATATCAGCATATTAACAGCTTCCTTGTTTTTGTTAAAGCTGCATAATACTTTATGTGGATGTAGCAATTTTTATTTAACTATTGGCCATTTTCCTGTCTTTTTGCAATCCTATACAGTGCTCCAAATAATAAGCTTAGATATGCATATTTGCATCTGTACATCAGATTCTTAGATGTGTAATCACTAAGCCAATGGGTATAGGCATCTGTAATTTAGATAGCTAGATATTATCAAGTCACCCCCCCCCGACAGGTTATATCAATTTAAATTCTAGTTAACAATGCAGTAGGATACCTCTTACCCTTCCCTAGTCCTCTTCAGCAAGGTTTCAAACTTTTTAATGTTTCATATTTGTCATTTCTCAATGTTACTAGTTGAGTCTTATTTTTAGGTGAGATATAACTAGCTTTAAAGCAAATTGTTTTTACTAAATCCCCTATTTTTAGGGGAAATTATCTGAACTTAGACTCCTGCTAAAATGGGAATTTTTCAAATGGCCCTAGTGTTCCGGACAGCTCCAGGTTCAGAAGAAGAATGAAATGTTCAGTCAGAGGTAGCCTAGGCTGTGTAGGCTGGAGAGCCATAGAAAGACCGGTCCTTTTGTGTACTGCTCCTGCAAAGAGACACCACGTGCTATGCCCTGATAACTGACCTCCTGCAAGTCTTGGTGCTTGTCCTTAGTCGTGACCTTCATATGCATGGAACACCTCCATCTGAGCCCTTGTGCTAGACTGAGGGGTGGCCAACCTAAGTTTTCACAAGAGCAGCAGCTCACCTCCCTACCATTTCACCTCTCCATGTGAACATCCTGAATCAGGCCCTCACACCCAGTCCCATAAGTCAGGGCTCCTAACTGGAAATTGGGTGATAACAAAGGAAGCAGCGTCTCTCTTAAGACCTTCACACACACTCTGCCCCGCCACACAACCTCTTCCCAATGCCGGGTCTCAGAACACAAGACACCAAAGAGTGTGTGCATTCACTTGGGGCACTTGGCACTGGGAGTGAATTCCCAGGGGCTGCAGGTTACTCATGCTCCAGGGAAGGATGAGAAGTGGAGGTGGATGTCAGTGTCTCCTAGTCAAGGGAGAAGCAGCATAGCAGCAGTTGCTTCCATGACCTAGGACCAGGGGTCCTTTTTCCCACCTGCCATCGTCAGAAGCTGGCTCTCCTCCTTACCAACACATATTTATCTTATTTCCTGTGTTGTTGTTATTACCTTGATGAAGCATTCTTAGACATGGCATCTACTGATGAATGTATTCATAACTTGAAATAATACATTCCAAATTCAAGTGTATTTGGTGTCTGAATCTCAATGTATTCAGCATGACTCACTCTCCCTCTGTAAATAATTACAGTATTCTTTTAGCCATTCCCACATATATATACAACATTCCAGCCCTGCAGATAAGTGATAGTTGGGGCAGCAGATGGGAGACCTGGTGTTTAGGTCTTAGCTCACCCCCTTATGGGGGTTACTTCATATTTCTCAATTAACTCTCAGGCAATTAAGATGTATTTTGCCAATATTCCATTTTTATCTCTTTTTGAAGGTTTATCAGATATACGCAAAGAGGTCCCCAGAGGACGTGCATGCCCTTCTAAGGTCCTTCGGCACTGACTACATAATCCTGGAAGACAGCATATGCTATGAACGCAGGCACCACCGGGGCTGCCGGCTGCGGGACCTGCTTGACGTCGCCAATGGACACGTGAGCATGTCACCTCCCCACATGCAGGGAATCTCTCAGAGGGGTGGGATTCCAATATAAATCCTAAGCAATGTAAATTTTTTTTATAATTTAAATTCATATAGACTAGCGTCCCCTTATATATCCACAAGAATTATATTTACATGCATTCTACAGAATTCTCTGCCCTGGCACTTTTGTGACTGCCACAGGAGCTGGGCAGGGGGAGAGAGCAGCTCTGAGGTCCCCGATTCTGTGTTTAACAGTAACTCTGCTTTTGGCTGGTTTGCATGACGAAGCTCTGTTTCTAAGAGCTTCCTGCTGAAAACAAAACTTCAAACTTCAAAACACTGTTCCAAAGCATCATGTTAGTTCCTCCATGAATGAGTGGTGGTGGTCCATTCTTACTGTTCTTTCTGCCTGCCCTGGGACATATTCTCTTTCTTCAGATAGACATTGCAAAAAGGGCCAGGCATGTAGCCCATACCTTTAAATCCCAGTGGCTCAAGAGGCTGAGGCAGGAGGATTGCGAGTTAAAGGCCAGCCTCGGCAACACCATGGCACTAAGCAACTCAGTGGGACCCTGTCTCTAAATAAAGTACAAAATAGGGCTGGGGATGTGGCTCAGTGGTGGAGTACCCCTGGGTTCAATCCCTTGTACCTGCCCCCCCCTGCACCCAAAAAATTACCAAAAGGCAAATTGTGCTCCTTTAGTCTTAACAGCTCTGAGCTCTGTGTGCCAGCAGCTCTTAGTTCTATCCCAGCCACTCTCAGGAGCTGGAGCTAACAGCTTCTCACAGCCCTCTGCAGTCAGAGCTAACAGCTCCCAGCAGCTCTTCCGCAGCTCTCTGGCTGCTAACTGTTCTCAGGGCTGGCAGCCCTATTTCTACTATAGATAGAAATCATGAATAGGCAAAATAAAACTAAGCCAGACCATTGTGGCTTATGCTGTAGCCCAAAAGGGGCAGCGAAGGAACAGGACTTCCAGACAGGCCCAGTGAGGCTGAGAGGTACACAGTCTCCTGCCCACTAATTGCAGGATTTCTGTGCCATCATGCCAGTCTGCAAAGGCTGGCCTGTCCTGGCTGTCATGGATGTCATCGCTCACAGACCCAAGTGATGACATCTGAAGTAGATGCATGATAGGCAGAGACAGAGCCACTCCAGGGCACAGGTCTCGTGGGGTGGTTTAGGACAGCTGTAGCAACCAAAGCAACATCTTCTGGAGCCATCGGGAGTATCAGGGTGGCTGTAATGTTCACAATAACAGGTCAGCTCAACTGTTGAAGGGGAAGCTGCTTGATTGACAGCTCCCACAGTTTCCACAGAAGCAATAAGACTGAAGTCATAGCTGCTGTCACCTCCAGTGACACTTTAGGAGCAATGATAGTATTGACCATCACCCAGCTCCAAGTCATGTGGATGATAGCAGGAGCCCTCAATCTCTACCCAACCTAGCCTACTTTTTAGTGTCTCTAGAGTGGGCACCCAGGGGAGCTGTCAGCAAAACATTAGGAACATTGAAAGATACAGGAGTGGTTCAAAGCCTGGTGCGGCAGGGCATGGCATGGTTGCCTCAGCAGCCACAGACACCCACTGCTTTCTTCCCTGAACCTTCCTGGCAGGCAGGCAACTGGTGCTGGCACTGCAGTTGGTGCAGTCTCAGCCCCAGTCTTTGCCCTACCTTCATCTCCCTTTGTTCCACCAAGCAAAGCAGTGAGGCATGGGAAAGGGTCGAGATGTTAGGGCCTCAGAGGCCTCCTGCCACCAGCCCAGCCAGAAAAGAAAAATAAAAGCAAAAAGCTAGTTCCCTTTGAAGGAGGTTAGGACCTCCTGTTCCACCTCAGTCTGCACATGAGAACAGCCATGGAGATAACTTGGGTACCTTGCTACACTCCAGAGAGATGGCAAACGGTGTCTGCCTTCTACCCCCAAGGAAAACATACTTGGAGCTGTGCTGGGTCTCAAGCAGAACCAATAGAATTTTCTCCTTTTGTAGGAGAGCGGTGTCTTCCATAACTGTTGTGTAAAAGCAGCTGTTTATAAATAAATGGGACCAAATGATAGACCTCTAAATTTGGGGGGAAAAAAACACTTTACTGTACAGAATATGAAATTCAGATTTTGCCCAAAATAAATAATAGCAACTAGCCTGAATTCAAAGGTGATACAGATTAAAGACATGCATTTGAATTTTGCTTTGTGTGTAACTTATTCTTAGTAATCCTTCTGACAAGTTAGAGAATATTGATTTTAGTAGAAATCTGTATTTCATTTTTGTGAGAGAAGCTGTATAGTACCTATCTAAGAACAAGGAGATCCAAGTTCTAGTCCTGACTTTGCCATTATTGGTGATCATTGTGGGATACAACTCTTCTTATCTGCCTTAGTTTATACTTTCAAAGGGGGAGAAGTCTGGACTCCCCCTCCAAAAGTATAAACTAAGGTGGATAAGAAGAGTGATCTCTAAGTAGCCATTGACATTGAGATAATAGTTTCACTAACAAATCATCCGTAAGGAAACTTAGTAGCTATTCTTGCTTCTATTGTTTCCACCCGCCCCCATACTAGGAATTGAACCCAGAGCCCTGCACATCCTAGGCAAGTTTACTACCACTGAGCCATATCCTCAGCCCTTTTTTTTTTCTAATTATTATTTTATGTTGAGTTGGGGGGTCTTGCTAAGTTGCCCAGGCTGACCTTGAACTTGGAATCATCCTGCCTCAGCCTCCTAAGTACCTGGGATTATGGGCATGTGCCACTGCCCCCAGCTTTGGTTGTGATTCTTCCCCCCTCCCAAATTACATTTGGGTTGGCTTGGGTTTTAGATGATGGATGGCCCTGGAGACAATGATCCAGATTTGAAGCCTGCAGACCACCCTCGCTTCTGTGAAGAGATAAAGAGGAACCTGCCCCCCTACATGGCACACTTCACTCGAGTGTTTCAGAACAAAGCATTCCATGTCTACAAGCTGACCAGGAGCAAGTAATGGAGATCTCTGCCCAATCTCTGTTTTGACACACTGAGACTCCCACGTAAGGAACCGTGGTAGCTGACGCTTCCTGTGTGGTGGGCAGCCTGTCCCTGAGAGCTGTGCTGTGAGAGTGTCCTGCAGATGTTTACACAGCATTACTATCTTTGGAAGCATCTTGGCAAGCTTAAGTCTGTCTTTGTCTCGTCCTTCCTCGTTTCCATTAATGATCGTTAGCTTAATGGGTTTCACATGCCTGAGCTAGGATTTTGTTGTTGGGGAGAGTGGTGTGCTTTCCCCAGATGACCTGTACAACTACAAGCCATGCCAGAAAGTGAGATCCCATCAGGATTTGAAATGCTTTGATTTTCGGTGGACTTAAGACAGCACTGGTTGAGTGTAATTAAGAGGATGCATAATTAAATTATTTAATATTATTTCACTAGTGAAAACCAATCAGTGGCTTTTTTAAAAAAAAAAAACTCTTTATTGTGCTGTTTCACCTTAAAATTTTATAATGTTTTCCAACAATTGTGCTTTTAACGTGGAAAAAAAAATCATGTTAGGTCTTTATATGTATCTTAAACATTTCGTGTATTCTCTTTGAAATGTTATATGTTCAATAGTATGTGTCATACATTGAGAGAGAGAGTGTGTGTGTGTGTGTGTTTGTGTGAGAATGCTAGGCACAGAAGAAGTATAAGTTCTAGATTGTAAGTCCTGAAAGGGGCAAAAGTGGATACAGTCAAGTAGAATTTGTTTAGTAAGCAGCAAGACTGTTTACTCTTATTATTGTAAACCTTATTGATACTCTTCAGTCTCTCTTGCAAGTAAAATAGTTCTGCTTCATTTCTTACCCATTTCAATTTACTGGGTTTGCAAAATTTTGTAAACTTTTTGTGTTTTTAGCCTTTGTATTTTTTACAGCCTAGAACCTTGCAAAGCCTGAATATTTTTTCAATGTTGTATCTTAACTAGTTCACTAACACAGTATTTTTGGCAGACAGCATTTTCATACCAGGTTTGACTTGGGGTCTCCAATCTTATCATGTGGGCTCTGGTAATGTTATTGTTTTCCTCACTAAAAGGTAACCAAGTGCCTCTAAGTCATGCTTATTTGTAAACATCAAAGGGGATTATATGTACCTGCTCAAAATTTTTTGATAATTGCTTTTATACTTCATTTCTAATGATAGGGGGATGTGTACAAGTTGCTGATAAAAGCATATTGTCCATTTAATTAAATCAACGTGGCTAATGAAATTAACTTTCTCCCCTGTTCTTGCCAGTTGGAGATGATTTAAATGTTTCTCCTTGTGGTTGTACTGAAGTAAATTGCCATAGGCGTCAAGATGGACAGCATCGCATGTTCAGATGATTTTATATTCAGTTACTACTTATTAGGCAGCATTCAAAAAAAAATTTACATTGTCTTTTTGGACACAAGAATACCCGGCTGTTATTAAATTATGCAACTGAAATTCCTGAATTATATCTTTCCTGTATCCCTTAATAAGGTTGGAGACCACTGCAGTTTAGGATAATACAATAATAAAACATTTTAATCAGTACTAAAACTCTAATTAAGCCAGTAATGATGCATGTCTGTTGTAGCTGACAGCATGGGTCAGTACATCCTTCGGTGAGTGCCTTACTCTAATTGAAACCAAGCACATGTAAGGTACAAGATGTTGAGACTATGTGATTTCATTTAAAAAAAAAAAAATCTCTGTTACTTTTTCATGTATATTTAAATCTATTTTAAATATTCCTATTTGTATTAGTCTAAGCATTTGAGTACTTAGAGTCTCAGTATACAAGAATCATGTACTTAAATTTGTATGCTTGTCATCCCCACAGTGATGGTGTAGTGATTTTTTTTCATAATGCCATTGTTGCCAACACATTGAGTGTTCAGTCTTCAGTGAAAATATAAAGTGCCAAAAAGTCATGCAAGACGGAATCCATGCATACATTCTTTCCAAGACACTGTGACCATGTACAGTACCATGGTAGATATTTTTTAGCACTTGTCAGAATTCTTTCTTTTATGATCTTCTCATTGGAGCATACAGTACAAAAAGCATCTGATTCTGGCTCTGACTTTCAGCATCTCTGCAAGCCAGAGAAGGAGACCTGTGGCCTAAACTCCCTGTCACACAGGCCTTGGTAGCTGTTTAATGTATGGTAATAACTTCAAACGAAGGTTCTGTTTTTGTGAATAGAACAAACACCAGATTTTGCTTCCGAGTTCCCAAAGAGAAACTCTAAGTTCAATAGAAGTGCTCTTAACTGACTCTGCTTATCACTTCACAGAGCCCTGGAGTCTCCATCCCTCTGCAGCTACCTACTCCAGCCCAGCACAGCCAGGTGCCACTCCCTGGTACTCCCAACACTCCTGCTCCCTCCCCCCTTCTGTTCCATTCCCACACCAGACCTCGCTGTGTGAGTTCCTCTGATTATAAGTACACAACTCAGTCAGCTGTGTATAAGCCTAGGAAATATGGATGTGAAAAGAGTCATTTCTGTAAAAATTAGGTTGACCGTTTTGATGTGGAAACACTTCAACTGCTAATAAAAATCACTTTTAAATTTAATGTGGTTAACAAAATCATGAAATACTGAGGGAAACATAAAAATCAAGAAAATTTCTGAACTTAGATTGCTTCGCAGATTTTTCTGTGTACTCACTCTGCCTTTTAAAAGTCTGAACCAATAGGAAGGTGGTCAGATGTACCCAAATCATGTTATTGGTATGATTTGTACAAGAAATGAACAACAGTCACTGAACCCTCATGCAGAAGAAAGTCCTTATTAGCCTCACATCAAAAGATTAGCAGATGAAGGACTGGGGGTGCGGCTCAGTGTAGGAGCATTTGCCTCACATGTGCAAAGGCCGGGGTTCCTTCCCCAGCACCGGGGAGGAAAGAAAGAAAAGATGGGTGAATGAAAGTACATTTGTACGTTGCAGGTAATGCTTCCCTACTTGAACCTAGGTACTTTGTTAAAATGCCAACTCTAGGTACAGATCACAATGACCCATAGAGATTCTACTTCGGCAGAAAGGCCCTGGGGACACTTTCATTACAGGCATTTATAGGATAGGGCTTCATTTCAGATGTGTTGGCCAGGAATGTAATAAAGGTTTATCTAGGCCGCTCATTGTCGCTTAAAGATGATCTGACTGACCTGTGTGAATTGACCTCAATAAGTTGGTTGTGTGTGTGTGTGTGTGTGTGTGTGTGTGTGTGTGTGGTGTTGGGTGGGTGCTGCCAGGGCAAGGGCATGTGTAAATATTTCATTAGATCTGCATCTTTATTTCACAATTAACTAGAAAATGTTTGTTCTGATTCGTATTAACTTTGACTAAAATGTTAAAAATTTAGCTCATCTTTGGCCCGAGTCTACAGAATTATCATAGAAATATTTAATTTTAAAATGTTAATTCAATCCTTCGAGTTAATAGGATGATAATAAAATGCGCTCAGATCATGTATCTTGGTTAACATGCTTCCCAAACGCTCCATATATGACGACCTTTTGACCTAGAAGAGAAAGCTTGTCTGTTCATGGAAGAAGAGTCTTTTTAAGGTGAGAAAGTGGCTTACTCTCTTGTGATAACTAATTTTCTGTTTTTTACATCCTATGGGTAAAATCTTACAAAGAGCTTTTATATAAGTTGTACTGAATTGTATGGAGATTATATACTAAATAAAGCTCTTTTAGATTACACAAGATGAATGTATTTCATTTCTTTGAAGGCCAAAATCCAAGGAACCTATTTATTTAAAGTGCAATAACTGTATGCTAAATAGAGTAAATCACTAATCATTGTTAATGTTGAAGGAGTTGGGTTGTTTTTTTTTTTTCACTTAGATTTCAGTTTGATAGCTGCTTATTAGTTCATTCGAATCATTTAGATTGCTAAAGAGAAGGCTTCTGTGTTACTGAGCTTCTCATCACTAGGACCAAAACACCTGACAAGAACCACTTAGAGGAGGAAGAGGTTTATTGAGGGCTCAGTAAAATTTGAGCTGAAAATATAAATTATTTCTGTTTTAACCTTAAAATAGTTTCTACTTCATTGTTATCGACCATTAATAATTCAGGAAGATGGGTGATACTACATATTTTTGGTAAGAGTTTATGGAGACAAACATATGACTGTTGTCTCGTTCAAAACAAGTCAAAATTCCAGGCAGAAATTGTCAGAAAAACAAATACAAGAAACTGGCAGTGAGATCTCACATATCCTGTTCTAGTGAAGTATGAATTACAGACAGTATACGTAAGTGGAAGGGGATGTGAAGGAACTGGATGTGGTTTGGCACAGGACAACCAGGCACTTGGCAGATTAAATGCTTTTTCTCTGCTCCTCCTTTCAGAAAAGCTATCTGATATGCATTTCATGGGCCTTTTCAGTTAATTTAATATTTAGAAGTTTGCTACATAGGCTTGTTCTCAAAATGCACATAATATAGATACAACACAATGTGAAGTCAATGCCGTCGATTGCAACCAACAGTTAAAGGAAGGAATGAAGGGAGAGGGGAAGAGAGACAGATCTACACGGTAAATAAAGGTATTGTTTTATGTAATATTTTTTTTCAGTTATACATTGTAGGTATTGGTGTGCTGGGGTGTGATAGAGAGTACACTTTTTACTGTGAGTTTTACTCAGTGTAAAAGCCATACCTACAGCACGGGGTGTTCTGGGAGGATGGCAATTTGAACTTCTCTGTTCTTATCCCTTAGTCAACTCTAGGAGAACTGTCTGAACACTTATGATATTAAAGAAATATCATATAAACATATACACAAATAATACCAGGTGCAATATGGGCATTTTGTTATTTTTAAGTCCTTTTAAAAATATATTGTGAAATATTTATAGACAAGATTATATGGCAAAATTATTTTGTGGGTCATCTGGAAGAAATGAGATTGGCCATGTGATACAATTAGTTGGGAATTTTTTGTAATCAAAAGATAGAAATTGGAACCAACTAAATAAATGAGGAAGTTAAAAATATTTAAATGATAAAAACTGAAATCAGAAATAGTAGAAAGGATAAATCAATCCAAGCTCCAGTTCTTTCTAAAAGACAAATGAAATAAACACCTTGTAAACCTGATTTTTTTAAAAAAGGTAAAAATATGTAATATTAGGACTGTGAAATAAGATATAATCCCAGAATCAGGAATGATAAAATAAATTATATGAGAAAACTACATGGAATTCTGTGACAAAAAATAAATAAATTGAAAACTTTCAGGAAACAGATGATTTGTTAACAAAATAGAAGTTAACTTGAATAGACAAGAATCATATAATATCTGAAAAAGAGTTCAAGGGACATTTAATACAGGTACATGCAAAAATCTATTTTAAAAGGGGTGACAAGACTGGGCATAGTGATGCACACAACTCAAGAGGCTGAGGCTGGAGGAACTCAAGTTCCAGGCCAGCCTCAGCAATTTAGTGAGGCCTTAAGCAATTTAGGAAGACCTTGTTTTAGTCAGCTGTTCAGCTGCTGTGACCATAAGATCTGAAAAGAACGATCAGAAGAGAAAAAGTTTATTTGGGGACTTAAAGTTTCAGAGGTCTCAGTCCATAGATGGCCGACCCCATTCCCCTGGGCCTGAGGTAAGGCAGGACATTACAGGAAAGCAGCTTGGGACATGGCACAAAGAAGTGGAGACAGAGAGAGCTCCACTCACCACGGATAAAATGTAAACCCAAGAGCATGGCCCAAGCGAACCACTTTCCGAAACACGTGAAATTTGCAGGACCTCTTCAAGCTCATACAAGTTAGTAAACAGAATTAATTTACTTAGGCTTGTAGGACTGAGGTCATCAGCACCTCAAGGCCACCCCTATTCATAGGCAGAGGCTTTGCCTCTTTAAAGACAGCAGGAACATCTCCACAAATGGTCCAGTTCTCTTTAAGGGCTTTAAGTCAGACCCACCCAGTATAATCTTCCTTGTTATTAACTCAAAATTTGGTTTGGGACCTGAATTATACCTGAAGAATCCCTTCACCTTTGCCATGCAGCATAGCCTAGTTGTGGGAGGGACACCCATCATAGTCACAGGCCCCACCTACACCCAAGGGGAGAGTCCTATACAGGGCATTCCTATGAGGGCTGGGAATCTTGGGAACCATCCTAGAATTTGTCCTAAGATGAAGTTTAAGAACAATAGAGTAGTTTGAAAGACGGGTCTAGCTACAACTGAGTATTTGGAAGCACCTAACAAAGTTATAAAGTTTTAGAGAACGGAATCAGGAGTCCTTTCCAAGGAGTCTCTTCTAAGGTGTAGCACAGGAAAATGGAGCCCAGGCAGAGTATGGCGGGCTTTCGAGAGGAAACAGATTGGAGTTCATGTCTGCTGAGGTGGCTGGGATTGGGCAAGGGTTTGGAGGGGCTGGACATTGGAAAGAAGTAAGTTGCAACAAAGAAAATCTGAGAATTTCTCAGTGGATCTATGACCAATTCCTAACCTGCTCAGGTATCGTTTGGCAGAGAAGATCTGATAAGTGGCAGATTTCACAGGTTACCTAAAGCTCAGGAGTCATTGGAATTGAGGCCCAACCAGGGCTGAATTCACGTTGGTAAATCTCCCAGCCATTCAGTTGAGACCCTAAAGGGAGTATGACTCATCCTGAGAGAGAAGACTTTTATCCGAATTGCCTTTCAGAAGCAAATGTAAATCTGCTATTGTGTTAAGTCACTTCCATCACTGACAAAACACTCAAGATGGATCATCAAATTAAAAGGAGGAAAGATTTATTTTGGCTCAAGGTTTCAGAGGTTTTGATCCATGGTTGCTTTGCTTTATTGCTTTGGACCTATGATGGAACAGAACATGAGAGGAGCTCGTTAGATATTGCCCGTTCACATCATGACAGCCAGGAAGCAGAAAGGAAGAGAAAGGGCCCAAGATCTCAAATCCCCTCCACGGGTACACCCCCAGTGACCTAACTTCCTCCAAACAGGCCCTATCTCTTAAAGGTTCCACCAGTACCCAGTTGTGACACAGGCTGGGAACCAAGTCTTTAACACATGGGCCTTTGGGGGACATTTCAAATCCAAACTATAGTGGCTATGAAGGATGATAAACTCATCTGTGGCCTCAATTTATCTCTAAAAATTTTATATGCACTGTGCAGCACTCAATCAAAAATAACTAGGAATAATTTTAAAAAAACAAGACAAACAAAATTGAAATGGAAACAACCACAGGCAAATTAGATATTAGAGTCTTAAACAGACTTTCATATAACTATGTTTATATACGGGAAATTAAATTACAAGATGAAGAATTTAAGTATAAAGAACCAAAAACTATAAAATAGAACAGAATGGAAATACTAGAACTGAAAAGTGTGACAAATTACATATTCATTTTTGGGTTAAAGAGCAAATTAGACACAGCCAAAGAGAGAATTGATAAATTGGACAGTAGTTTAAAAGAAAATTTCCAAACTAAAAGGTAAAAATCAAAGGAAAGAGCATGAAACTTATTTTAGAACATGTCCCTTTATCTTGTAGGTGTAAATAAATTCCCACAAGGAGAGGAAATTGTGGGTCTGGGTGATTTTGTGCAAGCCACTTGTCTTAATCCATTTTGTGCTGCTATAACACAATATGAAGCCAGGTAATTTATAATGAATAGAGATTTATTTCTTCATAGTTCAGGAAACTGGAAAATCAAGATCAAGTTACCTCTAGCACCTGGTCGGGGTGTTCTTGATGAATCATGACATCATGGAAGGGGTCAAGTGACAGAAGGGCAAATAGAGGGCAAGAATAAGACAAAAGGAGGTCAGACTTGTCCTTTTAGAAGGACCCCACTCCCATGATAATGGCATTTCTGCACTCATGACATCAGAAACCTCATGACCTAATCCCCTCTTGAAGATCCCCCCTCTTAGCATTATCACATTGGGGATTGTTTCCAACACATACTTGTTGAGGGTCACATTCAAACCAAAGTGCTACTTTTATTCCTACCTTCAGTTCTTCTTTTGTAATTGGGGGTGTAATAATCTGCCCATAAGGTTGTTGGGCATGTTAAATGATGTTACATTTAAAGCTCTAGCTCCAATACCCAGCACATGGTAATCACAATCAATGGAAGCTGCAGGATATCATCATCATTATCAAACCTGGAATGTGAAAAAGTATGAAGAACAAAGTTACATGTGAAACGGGGACTAAAAAGCCCTCAGTGATTTCGTGTTAAGTATTGTTGCTGCAGAAAATATCTCACAAACAAAAATAACCACCTTAGGACTTGGAGATTAACAGAACATTTAAAAGACAACCAACTTTGTCTTGAGGTCTATAGTTGCATTGCAAGAAAAGAGGTGTGTGAGTGTGAGTGTGTGTGTGTGTGTAAGAGAGAATAGCCGTGGACAAAGACAGAAACCGGTGGAGATTGACTTTAGAAGAGCCATTATCATTGTTGAAGATAAATGTCAAACCTCTGCCAAGATACACATATTCATAAAGGAGAAGTGGCTGATTGTGTGTGAATCTGCTCAAGAGAGGGAAAAGAGTGAGGGAACATGATTTCAGGACTAGCACAGTAATTAGAACAGCAGTGTGCTAATTAAGGCTCATAAATTTAATGAAACTATTAGCATTTTTCTCTTGCAAGAAAAGGTGGATGGGTTTTTTTTCCCCAGGAAATGACACCTGTGAACAATTATCGCTCTTATTATTGCTAT